AATAATCATTTTCATCAAAAATAACATAGACTTATAAAAGTCATATACACGGTCAATCATACTGAAGATTATCAATTGTACTACAAAATATCTAAAAGACTATTTCCAGTATAATGATCCGAATATCATCATTAATGTTTGACTGGCACACTAAAAAGTTTTATCACATGGCTAAATTATTGACTTTTATGTTATGATAAGGTCATGCTTTTCTATAAAAAATTGCAAGAAATTTTATTTCCCGGCCCCATTGGTTTGTTTTACTTTTTACTTAATTAGTGAAAAACAAAATGGACTGATCTAAAAGTTTACTTTCTTGTGTAAAAAGTGCTATTTAGAATTTTATGCAAATAGTTATTAAAGTTTCTATGTAAATAAGAGTAACATAGCGGGTATTATATTCAATGGTAGCGGCCATCCGTATTGGCAAAGCCAGCATCATTTTCTGTACAGAAACCGGCAAAGTGTTGCTCAAGGCACTATAAACAAAGCAGCTGATAAAATGTTACACTCATAACTGTTAACAAAAACTGTTTTCGCAAATGGTCTTATAGATAATAATAATTATTCCGCCGTGTTAGATGCAGGAGTTATTATAAGAAGGAGAAGAGGTAAAATTTTGTTTTAGAAAAGCGCAATCAATATTGTTTTGTCTGCAATTGAGCATAAAATAAAAAATAACTTCAGCCAAAGAGCAGAACTGGCATTATACTCAGGCCCATCAATTGGAATGGAAAAAAATAATTTTACCAGGTCTCAAAAAATCAATCACAATTCAAAAAACATAAATATTAAAATCAAAAAATGTATATATGTATGTCTATACATACATATAATGATTTATGGCCGCTTAGTAACTGACGGTGACTCACTATAACATCCTACTATCACGCCGAAACTAAGAGGAGAGAATCACTGTAGAAAAGGTAATAATTTATTGCGGAAATTTTGTGATAAAATTAAAAAAATATAAACTTGTCCAAGTTAATCTAACTTAGTCTAACTTATCCTTATGCGTACAAAAAAAACAAATAATAAAATAGTGAGATGGCGTCAGTTTTTAAGAAGATATAACAAAAATAAACAAAAAAATAAATTACAATAAAGTTCAGTGTTTAATTGATTATATACCGCTGACACTTAATCACGCTTTTTGAAACCACGCCAGTTGTAAACAATACTTGTGTGAAAAGACAAAATTTCTTTTCAAATTTCCGCCGAGTTGTAAGTAGAAGGCCAAATAGGTCACGTGTCAATTTTAATTAAATATATTTTATATGAAGTGATCTGGACTACGTTTCATCAATTAACCATTGGTAAAAATTAAAACAGGAATTTTACGATTGTGTTTACAAAAAACATTATTAGTTGAACCTTGCAGCTTGTTCATTATTTTTATTATAAATACCTATAAATGTATATATTATTAATAAATAGTTCCCATAATATATTGGATTATTTTTTATTTTGCCCTATCTGCAATGTTCTACGCTCTATAGAAAATGTGGCGTATGACATGACTGACAATCTTTCGAACGTTTTATCTAGGTACAAAGATGTTTTACGTTTTCGTCGCCTCCACATGATATTTTTGTCAGCATAAGGTACCCTTCTATATCTGAAACGAATATAAATATTGCTACAAAGTAAAGTAATAGGCTATACAAGTCCCTCTACTGGGCGCAGGACTCTTTTTTTATTTCTGAGTGGGTTTTAGGGCAAGGAAATGCCCGCCGTGCTTCCCCAATGCGTGTTGACGAAAATTGCAATTACAAATTTCATTCGTGTTGTCGGGGATCAAACCCGGGAAAATATTTACAGCGAACGCTTTGACCCAGATCTACTAATACGATACAAATAAATACGATTTAACATATATAATAAAAATTCTTACGTACTTGAAACTTGAACACTTGATAGCTCGTGATGCCTACCGGACAAAGCTACAGCACCACACCGTGCAATGTAATTGAAGATGCGTAACCGCGACATAATTCTCAGTGATGCGCAAGCATAACAGGCAGTATGTCACTTATATAATTGTCATCTCTGCAGTCTATTAATCTTTGCACTTTTATAAGTAATACAGAACGTAGTTGCTAGACGGTGTTGACATCGGCTAAAATCTCTGCGATCGCCGTGTCGTCAAGGTCATTCAGGCTAGTTAAAGCCTTAATAAAATAAAAATGCGGGAAGACGAAAATGGACCGAAGTTTTTTTTTTCTAATAATCTTTTATACACCTAACACTAGCGAAATTAGTAAACGATGTAAAAACTTTACTTTAAAAATACTTTTCACATATTATCGTTATTAAAATTAAAGATATGAAGGGTAAATGAAATCGCAACTGATTTAAAATGGTTTCCGTTTCCTTAAAAAAGTTTTAGAGCATAATACGAGTAAATGACTTCGTTGTTGTAAATCTACGATAAGTCAATAAAATATTCTGAAAACAAATCTGAATTATACATTTTGCTTTATTTTATGTCTTCTTTGTTTTCTTTTCTGCGAAAAACAAGTGGAAAGTATGAGAAAGAATGCAGATCTTTGCATATTGTAATGTGTCATCTAATTCGCGCGAAGACAAGTGGGGGTGCATGAATAGTCCGCGCGGCTGACGAGTGACCTCAGTGTGACCGTGAAGGTCCAGTCGCCTAAATGCATTTCTGCATCTATATTAAATAATTCAAAACGCATACGTTATGCAAATTATAGCTAATAGCTTTCTTATATCTTAGTAGTAACATGTTGTTTCTCCAAATATTGTTTAGCGTTTCCGGTAAGAAGAGCTACAGCCGACATTGTAATTAAACATCTGAAAGACTCTGTATTTTTAACATTTGGCATTCCCCAAACGGTGTATATGGATAATGGCAGCCAATTTATTTGTGAGAAGACCATTGCGTTATTTAATAAGTATAATATTCCTAACGTTTTTCTTACACCTAAATATACTCCTCAGGTTAATTTGGTGGAACGCTATAATAAAACTATTGTCACCTGTATATCGACCTTTGTGAAAGAAGATCAGCGTTCTTGGGATGTATATTTGCCTAAAATACTGTTTGCAATAAACAACTCCGTTAACGAGGTTACTGATTACACTCCCTCATTCCTTGTATATGGGCGTGAATTGGTAATATGTGGTTCTCACTACGTTGACAACGACCTTGGCGATGAAATTGTTTTCTTACCGCGAGACGCCTATGCTGAGAACATCGGTTATCTCGCTAAAATATTCAACAAAGTTCAGACATCACTATGGCATCATCATCAACAAAATTCCAAACGCTATAATTTAAGGAGAAGGTTCACAGAATTTAACGAAGGCGATATCTTATTTAAGCGCACTTACTATCTGAGTGATAAACACAAATATTTTAATAAAAACTTAGCCCCAAAATTTATTAAATGCCGCATAACTAAAAAGAGGTCACCTCTAGTGTACGAATTGGAGGACATGCACGGTAAATATTTAGGGCCATGGCACATAAAAGATTTTAAATTGTCTAAATAGCATATTTTTTGGTTTTACTGCGGATTTTTCTACTTATAGGAAGAAAAATCCTTGGGTGGCCAGCGGGGTATTGTAATGTGTCATCTAATTCGCGCGAAGACAAGTGGGGGTGCATGAATAGTCCGCGCGGCTGACGAGTGACCTCAGTGTGACCGTGAAGGTCCAGTCGCCTAAATGCATTTCTGCATCTATATTAAATAATTCAAAACGCATACGTTATGCAAATTATAGCTAATAGCTTTTATAGGTTTGTTAATAATTATGAAATATTAACGGTTGTTCCCCTTATATTGGGTAAGTGTGAGCAAATTTATAATATATGTATTACAATAGTGTAACAAATATTATGTTACTTTGATTTTGAAGTTTAGACAATTGATACTTAGTGTGTAATTTAATTTTATGTCACATGCTAGTTATTTTACCACGTAATTGTGTATGTCTTTTCATAGTAGATGCTTAGTTGATATAACTTTATTTTCTTGCCTCCGTTCTGGTAGCACGTACCGCCACACCAAACTTATCAGTTTTACTCGCCTAGTTGATTCTGGCGGTGGGCGTATAATATTACCTACTTTGGAGGCAAGGCTCATGAAAGATTTCGACTGTGTGTTCCAGGGAACCTCGCCAGGGGCTGAGACATCCTTCTTATTATTTTATTTCTAAACGAGATAAGATGGGAGGATTTGGAATTAAATGAAATACATATATATAAAATATACATTGAATTCGCAAGCGAAATCGGTCTATAAAGGACACATATCTCCAACCACTTCCGCCGGACTCGCCGCCAGTCGTGCCAGGGAAGTACTTGTTTTTTCTCCTGATCCTGAAAGGCGTCGAACCCGCGACCTGTTAATTTTATTTTATTTGCGTTTTTTTTATTATTAGTCTAGTTTTACAAGTAGTGTTATTAAATATCTCTTTAGAAGTACTTATATTAGTCTAGTTTTATAAGTAGTGTTATTAAACATTGTAAAAAAAATTGTTGTTATTATTTATTTATTATCAAATAAAATAATAACGTGACATTGGCGCCTCAACTCGGTTATTCAGGATCAGGAATTTTAGTGGTGTGTGCGTGTATATTGTAAACCTTTTGTTTTTTTTTTTTTTTTATGACTTTTATTTTGCCTTTTATACTTTTGCAACTGCAGTGTAATTAATGTTTTAATTTTAGTGGTATCCTTATTGTGTCTAATTTGTATACGTACAAAAATAAAATATTTTGGTTTTATTAATATATTTAATAATAAGCTTTATTAAAGCAAATATATACTACAGTTGCACCCTATTGTTGCATTTTTTTTTCATGTAATTTTTACGAGCATCCTTAAAAAAAACTTAGGGGATTACTATTACCAAAATTGTAACAGGACGGAGGATTCTTACTTAAACAAATTAGTTTTATTGTATAATTATAGAAATTTAAACCTGCTCACATAAGCCTAGTATAAGGATTTTCTTAGACTTCTTAAATTATGTCATACGAAATTCAATTTTTGTCCTTACAAAAAAACGAACTAAGCTATGAGGTGGCCATTAGAGGCGGCACACCCGGAGAAAACGTTCAAGAATTACGCAGGCAGATAGTCAAATTAGCCAATGTGATGCCTTCGGATGATATTATTGAATCTGGGTTTGAGTTTTCTGTAGACGTAGAGGGCATCCGCGAAAGCCTTATTAAAGTAGAAACGAATTTAAAAACATTATCAGTGAAATATGATAAAAATTTATATAAACGTACTCAAAACTTACTTAACCATCTATTTCATAGGATTCAACGTCTGGATGCTGTAGATAAAAAGTCTACAGATATTCTAGAAAGCCTCAGGCGCAAGCTAAATACAAATTTTAAAAACTTAGAACATCTTAAGCCTGATACTGATTCCTCATCTGAATTTACAGATGCTCTTACAATTACACCGTCCCCTATTGTTGTTATATGTGATCGAGCTCATTCTTCGGACTTAACTAGTATTAAGTTTGATGGAAAAACGTGCGTACTTTCGTTTGTCCAACGTATAAACGACTATATAACAGCCCGTGGTATTCCCTCTTCTAAAATTATAGATTTTGGAACAGAAATTTTCGTTGGTGATGCTTTACACTGGTTTCGCAGTGTAAGATCACATGTTACGTCTTGGGATAGATTATGCGAATTACTGAAGGATGTTTTTGTTATTCCTGATCATGATTATCGCTTATTAGACGAGATAAAAGCTCGTACGCAAGGTGAAACTGAGAATATTACTATTTACCTAGCCATTATGTCAGGCATGTTTTCCCGTTTATTTAAAAAACCTTCGGAGGAAGATCAGTTAGAAATTATTATGCACAATATCAAACCGTGTTATGCTAGCGCTTTAATTGCAGTGCCTGATCTTAAATCTATTGAGGTCTTACGTACGGCTTGTAAAAATTATGAGAATGTACAGTCTTGTCTTAATAAATATCATGAACCTCCTAAAATAAATTCAGCCACACTAGCACCCGAATTTGCATTTAAGCCACTCACTAATTTAGCAGAAAAAAATAAAATGTACTATTCTGCCACTAATAAATTTAATTGCAATAAAGCTTATAATAATTATAATAAACCTATACCTAATTCAAGTAACCTTTATAAAAAATATTCTCCCAATTCTAATGTTTTAAACAACACTTATCCGCAACGGCAACAAAGAGTTTATGGTCATAATAAACCAATTGACGCTATTCAATATGACGAAAGTAAACAAAAGTTTTGCCCCCGGTGTCGTGTTGATACACACAACTTAAGACAATGTACAGAAAAACGCAAAGTATTTTGTTTCAAATGTGGCCGTGATGATTACACATTTTACACTTGTCCAGATTGTACAAGTATTCCGTCTAGTTCAAAAAAACTAATAAAGCAGAATTGTAGCAACCTCGTCAACCACTCTAATAATACCGATTGGAAACAGTGGTTGAAGTTTATTAATATTTTTTTTAATAGCTATACAGTTGCTACAATTCTACTTAATAAACCACCTAACGACGTGCGACCTTATTTATCAGTCAAAATAGGAAATACAAAATTTTGGGGGTTATTAGATTCTGGCTCAGCCGTCACCTTACTAGGCAATAATGCACACAACTTACTGATAGATGAAGGATTTGCTGTGCGCACTGATGAAATGGTCTCTATAACAGCAGCCGGTGGACAAAAACTTAATTGCTTAGGATATATTAATCTCCCATTTAATTTTGAAAACAATTATTATACTTTGAAGACATTTGTAGTTCCTGAAATAGAGACCTCTCTTATATTAGGTATTGATTTCTGGAAAAAATTTAACATATGTCCAAAATACATCAACTGCATTGAATATAAAAGAGAACTCACCGATTATTATTCAAACACGAATGAATCAATATTAAAATCTCATATACATTCATACGCATCCCTTAATGCCAACCAACGCTTGATTGCTGACGACATAATTGAACAATTTAAGGACGTTTCTTCCGAACGCAAGGGCTTAGGTTGTACTTCTCTTGTATGTCATTCTATTGATACGGGTGACACGAAACCTATACGACAGCGTTATTATCGAATGTCCCCTGTAAAGCAGCAAATTTTATGCCAGCAAGTTGACGAGATGCTTTCATTGGACGTAATTCAGCCTTGTGAGAGCTCTTGGTCCTCTCCAATCTTAATTGTTACAAAAAAAAACGGCCAACCGCGCATTTGCTTAGACAGTCGCAAGTTAAATTCTGTAACCAAACGCGATGCTTATTCCTTGCCATATGTTTCCGAAATTCTAGATAATCTGCGAGACGCAAAATTTATATCTAGTATAGACCTTTCTAAAGCATTCTGGCAAATTTTAATTTCAGAACGCGATCGCGAAAAAACTGCCTTTTATGTCCAAGGTCGTGGGACCTTTTGTTTTAAGAGGATGGCTTTCGGCCTTACCAATGCACCTGCAACCCAACAAAGGCTTGTAGACTTATTATTTGGTTCATTTGATCTTAAGGTATTTGCATACCTCGATGATATAATTATTATTTCTAACACATTCGATGAACACGTTTCTTTATTATTACGTGTAATAAATAAGTTAAAGGAAGCAAATTTAACAATAAACTTTGAAAAAAGCCAATTTTTTCGGTCTCGTCTGAAATATTTGGGCTACGTAATAGACGCCCAGGGTCTCAGAACAGACCCTGAAAAGGTAAAAGCTATTTTAGAGTATCCAACACCATCTTCAAAAAAAGATGTAAAACGTTTTTTAGGAACAGCCACCTGGTATAGACGTTTTGTGCCAAATTTTAGCACTATAGCTGGGCCTCTTAATAAACTTACTTCAAATCGCAAGGGTGCTCCAAAATTTTACTGGTCACCAGAGGCAGACATAGCTTTTAAAAAGCTAAAAGAATGTTTAGTATCTGCACCAGTCTTACATTGTCCTAACTATAATTTGCCCTTCCAAGTTCACACAGACGCCAGTAATTATGGAGTAGGTGCCATGTTAACTCAAACAGTCGATGGCAAAGAACATCCTGTTGCCTATATGAGCAAGTCACTAAATGCTGCAGAAAAGAATTACAGCATTACCGAGAGAGAGACATTAGCTGTAATAGTAGCATTAGAACACTGGCGTTGCTATCTTGAAAATGGTCAACCTTTTGTAGTTTACACTGATCATTCAGCATTAAAGTGGTTTCTCTCTTTAAACAACCCTACGGGCAGGCTTGCAAGATGGGGCATTAGGCTATCTTCTTTTGATTTTACTATCAAGCATAGACGTGGTGCTGATAACATTATTCCAGACGCGTTATCTCGCGCTGTCGTAGTTTCTTCTATTTCCACAGCAAAATCTGACTTAACAACGAATGATAAATGGTATCTAGACATTTATAATGGTTGTATGAACAATCCAAGTAAATATGAAAATTTTCTTATCAAAGCGGAAAAGCTATATCGGTGTTCAAAAAATAAATGTTTATTAACTACAGAGTTTTCGTGGAAAGAAGTAGTTCCATTAGAATTACGAGAACACGTTATCAAAGAAAATCACGCAGAACCCACGTCAGGTCATTTAGGCATCCATAAAACTTATCGCCGTTTAGCATTGCAGTATTTTTGGCCAGGTATGCATCGGGACGTCGTAAAGTTTGTTACGAAGTGTGACATCTGCTTAACTTATAAACTCCCTACTCATAATGTGTTAGGAGAAATGGGACGACCTAAACAGTGTTGCCGACCCTTCCAAATTACGAGTATTTCAATTGATTTCATCGGACCCCTGCCAGTTAGTAGAAAACAAAATTCTTATATCTTAGTAGTAACATGTTGTTTCTCCAAATATTGTTTAGCGTTTCCGGTAAGAAGAGCTACAGCCGACATTGTAATTAAACATCTGAAAGACTCTGTATTTTTAACATTTGGCATTCCCCAAACGGTGTATATGGATAATGGCAGCCAATTTATTTGTGAGAAGACCATTGCGTTATTTAATAAGTATAATATTCCTAACGTTTTTCTTACACCTAAATATACTCCTCAGGTTAATTTGGTGGAACGCTATAATAAAACTATTGTCACCTGTATATCGACCTTTGTGAAAGAAGATCAGCGTTCTTGGGATGTATATTTGCCTAAAATACTGTTTGCAATAAACAACTCCGTTAACGAGGTTACTGATTACACTCCCTCATTCCTTGTATATGGGCGTGAATTGGTAATATGTGGTTCTCACTACGTTGACAACGACCTTGGCGATGAAATTGTTTTCTTACCGCGAGACGCCTATGCTGAGAACATCGGTTATCTCGCTAAAATATTCAACAAAGTTCAGACATCACTATGGCATCATCATCAACAAAATTCCAAACGCTATAATTTAAGGAGAAGGTTCACAGAATTTAACGAAGGCGATATCTTATTTAAGCGCACTTACTATCTGAGTGATAAACACAAATATTTTAATAAAAAATTAGCCCCAAAATTTATTAAATGCCGCATAACTAAAAAGAGGTCACCTCTAGTGTACGAATTGGAGGACATGCACGGTAAATATTTAGGGCCATGGCACATAAAAGATTTTAAATTGTCTAAATAGCATATTTTTTGGTTTTACTGCGGATTTTTCTACTTATAGGAAGAAAAATCCTTGGGTGGCCAGCGGGGTATTGTAATGTGTCATCTAATTCGCGCGAAGACAAGTGGGGGTGCATGAATAGTCCGCGCGGCTGACGAGTGACCTCAGTGTGACCGTGAAGGTCCAGTCGCCTAAATGCATTTCTGCATCTATATTAAATAATTCAAAACGCATACGTTATGCAAATTATAGCTAATAGCTTTTATAGGTTTGTTAATAATTATGAAATATTAACGGTTGTTCCCCTTATATTGGGTAAGTGTGAGCAAATTTATAATATATGTATTACAATAGTGTAACAAATATTATGTTACTTTGATTTTGAAGTTTAGACAATTGATACTTAGTGTGTAATTTAATTTTATGTCACATGCTAGTTATTTTACCACGTAATTGTGTATGTCTTTTCATAGTAGATGCTTAGTTGATATAACTTTATTTTCTTGCCTCCGTTCTGGTAGCACGTACCGCCACACCAAACTTATCAGTTTTACTCGCCTAGTTGATTCTGGCGGTGGGCGTATAATATTACCTACTTTGGAGGCAAGGCTCATGAAAGATTTCGACTGTGTGTTCCAGGGAACCTCGCCAGGGGCTGAGACATCCTTCTTATTATTTTATTTCTAAACGGGATAAGATGGGAGGATTTGGAATTAAATGAAATACATATATATAAAATATACATTGAATTCGCAAGCGAAATCGGTCTATAAAGGACACATATCTCCAACCACTTCCGCCGGACTCGCCGCCAGTCGTGCCAGGGAAGTACTTGTTTTTTCTCCTGATCCTGAAAGGCGTCGAACCCGCGACCTGTTAATTTTATTTTATTTGCGTTTTTTTTATTATTAGTCTAGTTTTACAAGTAGTGTTATTAAATATCTCTTTAGAAGTACTTATATTAGTCTAGTTTTATAAGTAGTGTTATTAAACATTGTAAAAAAAAATTGTTGTTATTATTTATTTATTATCAAATAAAATAATAACGTGACAATATAAAACATCAATTATTATCCGTTAGTCTCGCTAAAACTAAAAGACGGCTTGATAGATTTTGATGAAATGTTTTGTGTGTTTGAGTATGAGATTGAGAAATGTGAATCTAAGCTATATAAGCTATCTAGGAACCCCCTAGATGGCTTAGATTCAAATTTGGACCCCGTAGGTAGCGTTGTTGTCAAGATCCATAAATCAATTGTGCGAAGTCGAGGTGAATTTTTTTTTATAGGAGAGGGGGTAAACGAGCATGCGGCTCACCTGATGGTAAGTGACTACCGCCGCCCATGAACAACTGCAACACCAGGGGAATCGCAGATGCGTTGCCGGCCTTTTAAAAAGGAGTACGCTCTTTTCTTGAAGGTCCCTAAGTCGTATCGGTCCGGAAAATAGCTGATGTTTATCGATTCCACAAGGAGGTCGTGCGAGGAAGAAAACATCTTCTAAATCGCACAGTGGTGGACCGCCAATCATCCAGATGGTGTGGATGGTATCGGGAGTTCTGCCACGATGTGCGTTCGTGAAATTTGGCGGCTGGGATTAATCCGAACAATTCCTCAGAGCACTCCCCATGGTAGATGCGAAAGAAAATGCAAAGGGATGCAACATCTCTTCGCAGTGCCAATGAATCAAGCCGATCGGAAAGGGCTCGGTCGTCGAAGATTCGCGCAGCTCTGCGTTGGATGCGGTCAAGTGGAAGGAGCTGGCACTGGGGAGCCCCTGCCCAGAGATGGGAACAGTATTCCATGTGAGGCCGAACTTGCGCCTTGTAAAGTAGCAGGCGGTGTGCCGGCATGAAATACTGTCCCGCTCTGCTGAGCACGCCAAGCTTTTTAGAGGCCAATTTGGCCTTCTCTTCCAAGTGACCACGAAACTGCACGTCACTCGATATGTCGACTCCGAGGATACCGATACTGGCTGAGGCAAGAAGGGGAGTGCCTTGAAACTGGGGTTCTTTTTAGCGATAAACGCGCAAACTTGTGTCTTCTGAGGATTAAACTGGACTAGATTTAGTCGCCCCCAATCCGAGACTTTGCTCAGCAAAGACTCGACTTCAGACACAAGTTCGATCTCTTCGTAAAATGTGCGGCGTTACCATGGCCAACTGAAAGCGAAACGAAGAGATTCGCAATATGGCAGGTTTGAAAGATGACCTTATCACAAAAATTTATAAGAAGCATGCCCTTGCTTCGGTGGTTTGGGCACGTTGAGCGAATGAGTGAAGACCGAATGGTGAAGAAAATATATAGCGCGAAAGTTAATATTAAAAGGTGTCGAGGTAGACCGAGACTAACTTTCGAAGGCCATGTGAGCAAATTGCTCGAAGAGGGTAGGGTCAAGAGTACTCGGATACCTAGACGTGCATGTATGAAGAAGATAATGAATCTGAAAGAAGCAAAAGAGGTATGTAAGGATCGTGACACTTGGCGATCTGTTCTCTCTGGCTACCCCATCAGGGATTGTGCGTGAAGATAAGTAAGGTAAAGTAAAGTAATGAATAATACGAAATATGCGCACAATCGCAAGCGTGCGTGCGTGCGAAAGTACATACGTGCATGCGTGTGAGTGCGTGTGTGCGTGTATGTGTGCGCCTCATCGTGTAGGTAAGACTGCGTTAGTGAGTGTTTGCGCTAAACGCTAAAATTTAAAATTACTAAAACGGAGGCGCGTTAGTACGCTTCTTCTATGTACTTAACACCGGCGGGCACGCGGCTCGCGGGCGCCTCGCTGCACGCGTTGAGCGCGTGGGAGTTCGGGTATTTTTTTGTCGCGCGATAGTGTCGATTTTTGTTAACGGACTTGTGCAGTGACGATTAATTGTGTAGCCTAGAACATTAGACGCCTGGTTGGCTAATTGTTGAGAAGTTAATGTTTAATTGTACCGTTGCGTTAAGTGCCTAAAAAGGTCGCGTTCGGTTTTCGAAATATGCGGAGTGATCGCAAGTGAACTTTGACCCAGCGGTCATCCGTCGTGCCGCGTATTACGTTTGTTGATTATAGTTAACGGGATTTAGTTGCGTCTTGAAGTTAGTTAAATGTACGATAAAGTTGATAGACTGACATAGTGAATTGAAGAAAGAAATAGTCCATTGCCGCTGCCGCTGGAGAATACCACGCCGGGGGGCTGTGCCGGAGTCAGGGTTGCTGCTGATTAAAAGGGCTAATTCAGGTTACACAGATATACACTTCTCACACACTACTTACATTCACGACAATTAACACCTGAACGGGCCCTGTGAGCCTTTCTTTGCCTCTAAACAAGTACTTACTATTTATTTACCTAGCCTTCTCCTTATTGTGTAGTATGATAGGACATTTTCCATAAGGCCATTTGGGTCCCGTCCTTAGTTATCCGTCGAGTCTACAGCTGTATGGGCCCCTGTATAGTCGACCTTTGTCGGGACAGCTAAGGGCGTGAATAGTGATAAATAATTATTCCTTTTACGCTTTAGCACTTATATTAACTTTTTTTTAGGATAGGGTGACAAACGAGCCCACAGTCCACCTGATGGTAAGTAGAAGCTGTGGCCCATAGACATCTACATCCATCTTCGTTTGCGAATCAAAATGCAGATGCGTTGTCACCCATGAGGACTAAGATGGAATGCCTCTTTTCCAGTAAAAAGGGTCTCCGGTTCTCTACACTTACCATACGAAACACAGCAGTGTTAAGCTGCTATTTCACGTTGGTATTCTGTGAGAGCGTGGTCCTTCCCCTGTTGATTCGACCCATTCGTGCTACAACTATACTACTAAATATCTGCAGCATGGCTCTACCACGTAAAAATATTTATTTTATATTTGATTTGACTTAAAATATAAGGGATGATTGTTTCTCTAGGGCGTAATAAAGGATTATTTTGAAGTAAGTTTTATGCTTTATAACTTTAAATTGTCTAGGATTCAAAAGTTTTGTAACTAGAGTTTACAAATATTATTAATTGATAATTTCACAAAGGTTTCATCACAAAGGTTTATAAAAATACAATTATTTCCAAATATACTGACGCAAACTTAGGTAGTAAAATTTGTTCAAAGAAAACGCTAAGTGCTTAAAGTTTTACTGTAGTAACTTAATGATTCTAACTTATATCCAAGTTTAGAGGACTTCAACAGTGATATAGACATAAGTGGTAAAGATGGATCTTGTTTAAGTAATTAGTTGTTCTTTGTGATTATAATTATTCTCACGAGATTAAATCCTTGTTTTAAAATTGATTAATGCTTATAAAGTTTGAAGTATTATATTAACTACTATAAGTCAGTTCATTCTTCGTAAAATTTTACTGCTGGCCTTGAGTTGACATGGCAAACTTTTTTCCATCCAGGTGGTTTTTCAATTTAGGGAACAGAAAATAGTCCGATGTTGCTAAATCTGGTGAATATGGGGAATGGTTTAATACTTTGAAAAGAAATTCAGGGAGATTAGCCATTGCAACAACTGACTTGGGCCCCGGTGCATTATCCTGATAAAAACGAATTTTCTTTTTGGCCAATCCCGGCCACTCTTGCGAAATTTTGTCGGCTAAATTTATAGTATAATCCTGTCCTGCGCAGATTGCTAGTCGCCTTTGTGACTGGTCAGCGTGACCGAAATTCGGTCTTGAGGACATTATTGTTATTTTAGGTCTATATAATATATTATGTCCAGTGATTGCTCGCGAATTTGGCGCCAACAGAATATCAGCTCTACGGTGGCTACTGTATCATTATGCTGATTTTGTGGCCTTTGGGTTGCTTTTTTGTAAAATTAATTATTGCAGCAATGAATAAATATGTTTTTTATAATTTACCGAAAGGTTTTTTTTAATAAAATACCATGTTGTAACTTCTTTCAACATTCTCTTATAGTTAAAAAAGCTGTAAACGTAGTTGTAAACGTGACTCTAAAAGCAAAGTATACCTTAAAATGCTAAAAGCTTCTGAGAGAAAAGTATAAAAAATAAATGTATTAACTTCGGACT